TCGTCTCAGTCCCCGTACTCCTCATTCGCCCAAATCACCGCGAGTCTCGCCGAAACATGCAGTTAAATCCGGCAGTGCCGCTAACATAGTCACAGTCAAGTCCGATTCCGGTCTGTCGTCTATGAGCGGTTGGAGCAGCTTAGACAAGTCGCCGTGCTCCCCGAAGAGCTCCATTGCTAAGATGCTTACCTCTTATTCGGTGGATCACACCCGCGCGAGTAGTCTTATACCCAGCACGCAACCCGCCAGAACATCCAGCCCGATACCGCCGCTTCCAGAGACGACCACTACCACCACTACTATCATCCAGGAACCTCTCTATGACACTCCCGAGGGTAGAGACGCTTTTGCGAGCGCCATGGCGACTACGTCCAGTCATCCTTACACAACGACAATGAATCACCTGTCGGCGTATACGACCGCCGGCAAATCGCCGGCCAAAGAGGACTACACGTTTGTGCCACCGCCAGCTCCGGGCAGCGTAACTACCACTTGTCAGAGTCCCAAGAAACGCGGTCGTCTTCAACACACTTACTCGACGTCCGCCAGTACGACTGCGGATTACATTTTCAGATCGGAACAGCCGGCTATTTACTCCGTGGCCGGTAGCAATCGACAACAAGCCATTACGAGCGTCTATACCAGCGGTGCTGGCAGCTACGGGCCCAAGACTACCACCTCGGCTTACTACTCTGCCGATTCGCTGGATCATCAGTATACTAACTATCAAGATAGTTATGCCACTCTTCAGTATGCGGAGGCAACGAGCGCCATGATGGCCCACGGGAAGAAGCCAATACGCGGAAGCTCTTTCACAGACGGTATGACGAACCACGAAGGATACAAGGCGGCGATGTATCGTACGATGTTCCCCACCGGCAACATCACGGATGCTCTCTCGTACTATCCGACCAGCGCGACTAATCTTCCGCGCACGGAGACAAACGAGACTACATCATGGTTGAACTCGATGGAGGAGCAGATACCTCACGATTCGACATCTTCCAGCATCAGATCTTTAACTTCCGACGGGAGCTACGCTCAAAGTCCGTACACGGATCGGAGATATCCGCAGCCGCCGGCCTATCAAGCGCATACGGCGTATCAGCAACATCACATTTACGCAAATCAGAGTTATCCGCAAGCCTATCAGCAGCAGTATCAGCCGTATAGCCAGCGATTGAGTAGTGCCGAGAGTGCACAACTCGCAGACGGTTATCAAAGGCAATGGCAAAGGGAGCATCAGTACATGCAGGATCACGAGAGCGGAAGGATGGAGCAACAACAGACGCAACAGACCGAATATTATGATGCCTCGAGTGTGATAGTTTCGCAATCCGGGTACATTAGTATCTCCTCGAATCTGAAAGATCACGAGGTCGATACTAGCAAGCTGAAGAAAGTCAGGAGAGGCTCCTCACTAAAGAACGCGATGAGCTCCATGAGTAATTGGCTGCCCGATTTGCACCTCACCAAACGTCACAGGAGTCAATCGTTACCAGGTGGTGTCAGAAGAGAGGATCTAGACGTGCAAGACGCTCAGCAGCAAAGATTGGCTGAAATGACAAGCAGAGGTCGTGGCAGAGCTCAGACCGCCAGAAAAAAGAAAAAACATACGCTGGTTTCCACAGTATCCGGCATTCTCCAGAAGGCCAAACGTCGCAGTCATCAGTCGCAATCTCTGTCAGATCCAGAGCAGTCTGAGACAGAATGGAGTAGTGGCCGGCAAAGCGGCCTCTCGGAAGATGAGGACAGCGTCATGTCTGATATCGTTCAAGAGCCGCCTTTCTTCGCCAAAGTGAAGACCGCGAGCACGAAAAGACCATCGAAGCAGCCGCCTCCGATACCGCCACAGATGATGGCACAGCAGCAGCAGCAGCAAGCACAGATTCAAGCGCAACAAAAGGAATATATGCAACAGCAGCAGCAAGCGCTTCAACAGCAGCAAGCGCTTCAACAACAGCAAGCGCTTCAACAACAGCAAGCGCTTCAACAGCAGCAGCTACAACAACTCCAGCACCAGCAGGCGCTTCAACAGCAGCAGCAAGTGCTTCAACAGCAAATTCAACAGGCTCAGGAGCAATTGCATCAACAGGCTCTTCAAGATACATGGGTCAAGGAGAAGGAGCAAAGAAAGATCGAGACTAAAGACGAGTACGAGACGAACGGCGATCAGATGGCTTTGCTCGAAGAAGAAGCTTCGGGAAAGAGTACCGGCTCGGGATCCGGTGGATCGTCGATCTTCCAAACTGTTGGCGATATTAAGAGATCGACAGGCAGTTCGGATGAGGCACCCAACGAGAAGGCGCCGAAACTGCCTCCGGTTACTTTGATCGGCGGCTCGAGTATGGAATTCGCTGTATCACGAGCGCTCGGCAAGTATCGCCAACGACAATCCTCGACAGTGTCCGACGAGCAGTCGACAACTGACGAGAACAATGACAAGAAACCGAGCGAGGAGGGCGCGGCGCAAACTTTGGAAACAAGTTTCGAGTTTCCGGAAGATATGTCGGAAAAGAGCGAGAAGAGCGAGAAGTTCGGCAGCGCAAAACTACCGGAATTGGTTACTAGTTTGTCAGAAGAAGCTCCGCCGTCGGAGGGTAGCCCGTCCGCATCCATAAGAGGTTACAATACTACAGGAGGAACTCGATTTTTACCGCGACACCAGCAATCTCTAGAAATTCCATGGACCGGGCGACCGGGCGAACCTGATGAGGACAATCGCAGCACTCATTCGTACAGGAGTACCTCAAGAGTGTCCTCAAGGCGACAAAGCACGGAAGATTCTATTGATTCCGAAGACGAATGGTACTGTTACGAATTAAGAAAACTCGAAGAGCTGGAGAGACAGTCTGAGATGGAGATGACCGAAGCATTGATCGAGGAACCCGAAGACGAGGTTTATCAGCCGGACGAGACGGTAAAAGAAAAGATGTCATTTGTATTGAAAGAGCTTAAACTCAAAGCCATTACGAAGCCAAAGGATCAGAAAAAGGAGGGTAGAGAAGAA